GTCTGGCCTGGTTTCACTGCCTTTGCTGACTTCTCCAACCYAGACACACACCAGTGGTGGCTGGAGAACCTGCAGCACTTCCATGCCCACGTGCCCTTTGATGGCCTTTGGATCGTAAGTCCCTCCTTGCTGCTGGGTTTCTCCCTKCCCACAGCTCAGCTCATGCCTGGTGTGTGTCCTGGCAGGATTGTCCCTCAAGGGCAGCTTTTCCAGGTCTACCATTAATCCCCCAAAACCACACCCTTGAAATCACTCCACAATTTTCTTTGCTTAGGACATGAATGAGCCGTCCAACTTTGTGGATGGGTCTGAGCACGGCTGTCCCCCGGGAGAGCTCGACAACCCACCCTACACTCCGGGTAAGTGGAGAGATGAAATCCAAGGCTGTGCTGGTGGTACTGTGTGCTCTGAGATCRCTGCCAACCCAGTGTGGTGGGGGAAAGCCATTTCTAAGAGACMCCGTGTCTCTTTTACACCCTGAATGTCTCCTGCATGTGTGGTTATCTGTGTCTAAACTTGTGGCCGTGTCGGGGTGTGGGATGGAGCTGTCTGCTTGAGCTTTTGGCGCTGGGTTGGCAGTGATAACTGGCTCCTGTGGAGGAGTCCACATCCCCTGCACCCCAGCAGCAGTGTTGCCTTGAAAGGYCAGTTTTTAATAATGACACAGACACGGTTAAGGGGATAAAAAGGGTTTTACCTCGGTATTTGGGATCCCAGGTGCACAACTTGATGGCAGAATGCACACAGTGTACAGCACGGGTACAAGTTTTATAGGTTTCAGGAATTAGCATATCTATCTAGGATTCCCCAATAAGAAACTTAACAAATGCAGTAATGTCCCCCTATTCTAATGAATCCCCCCAGATGAGGCCAGAGCCCAGTTTACACAGGATGTTCTGGACAGAAGGCTTCACCCAAGGCTGAGCTCAGGTTTAAGCTTCACCCAAGGCTGAGCTCGGGTTTAAGATAGCACAGAGCACACTGACTCCTTCCTCAGGATGTTTGGTCTCTCTGCCCAGCAGAACTCCTAAACTAAGCTGGAATATCAAGCTTCAGGAATTACAAACATGTTGGCTAAGGGGTACAGGCGGATGCATAGAGGGTACAGAAAGCATAAAAGGGAAAAGCAAAGATCATCAGGCATCAGCAGCAGCAGGTGCCAACTGGGCTCTCCCTCCTTGCAGCCGTGCTGGGCGGTTCCCTCTCCACAAAGACGGTGTGTGCCTCGGCGCAGCAGAAAGCCTCAGTGCACTACAACCTGCACAACCTCTACGGGCTGATGGAAGCCAAAGCCACAGCCAGGTACCTGAGCATCCTGCTTCTGACAGCYTGGGGATGGGCTGGGACAAAATCCTTCTCAGAGAACAGGGAAAGGATGGGGATTTGAGTGTCTGATCTGAAGGGAGGAGCTCTGGCTGCTCACAGCCTCCAGGATGGGAATAACCCAGAAGAAGGGAGCTGGTGCTGCTTGGGATGGGTGRATGAGGCCAGTCCTGGTGCCATGCCTTTGCCATACTGCTTGGGCTAGCTCTGTGCCACCGCAGAGCTGCCAGGGCCTGGAGCTCTCCCTCAACTGCTGTGGGGTAAAGCAAACACCTGGTGGGCTGCTCTTACCTTGTGAGCCCAGCTCTCCYTGGTGTTTTCCAGCGCCTTGATCCAGATCCGGGGGAAGCGCCCGTTCGTCATCTCCCGCTCCACCTTCCCCGGCCAGGGCCGCTACTCGGGACACTGGCTGGGTGACAACCAGAGCAAGTGGAAGGACATGTATTACTCAATCCCAGGTGGGTGGCACAGACCCCCCTACCAGCACCCCCAGAGCTTTCTGCTTATTTGGAGATGTCTCCAAAACTCCCTGTGCTTTGCTGAGTGTCCTTGYCCTCAGGGCTGCTGAGCTTCAGCCTGTTTGGGATCCCCCTGGTTGGGGCGGATATCTGTGGCTTGGCGGGCAGCGCCTCGGAGGAGCTGTGCACCCGCTGGATGCAGCTCGGGGCTTTCTACCCCTTCGCCCGCAACCACAACAACCTGAACGACAAGGTCCAGGCCAGGGGGAGGTGTCCCAGGGGTGGGGGGTGGGATGTGGGGTGGGATGCTGAATGGGGGATGCAGGATGTGGGATGGAAGGGGTGGGATTTGGGGTGGGATGCAGGAGGGAGGATACAGGATGTGGGATACAGGAGGTGGGATGCACGGGGTGGGATTTGGGGTGGGATACAGGAGGGAGGATACAGGATGTGGGATACAGGAGGTGGGATGGAGGGGGTGGGATGGAGAATGGGTGATGCTGGTGGTGGGATGCAGGGGGTGAGATGCAGGATGTGGATGCAGGAGGTGGGATCCAGGAGGTGGGATACAGCATATGGGATGCGGGAGGTGGGATGGAGGGGTTGGGATGCAGAATGGGTGATGCAGGATGTGGSATGAAGGAGGTGGGATGCAGGATGAGGGTTGGGAGTGGGACAGCTGCCGAGTCCCCACGTGTCCCCCAGGCCCAGGACCCAACAGTGTTCAGCCCTGTGGCCAGGACAGCCATGAAGGACGTGCTGCTGACCCGTTACTCCCTCCTGCCCTTCCTCTACACCCTGTTCCACCGTGCCCACGTGCACGGGGACACCGTCGCCCGGCCCTTGTTCTTTGAGTAAGACCATCCCCACTGGAGCTGGGGACACGCTTGGGCTGGATCCCAGAGAAGCTTGGGCTGGATTCCAGAGAAGCTTGGGCTGGATCCCAGAGATGTGGCCGATCGAGCGGCGTCTCCATCCTGCCGCAGGTTCCCTGGGGACGTGGCCACCTGGGATCTGGACAGGCAGTTCCTGTGGGGCCGGAGCCTGCTGGTGACCCCGGTGCTGGAACCCGGGGTGGACTCAGTCACAGGTTATGTCCCCCGAGGCACGTGGTACGACTTCTACACGGTGAGGAGCATCACAGCGTTTGGGGTGATCCTGCTTGACCCTGGCTGAGCCCAGCGTGCCCTGATGGAGGAAGGGATGGGGGTGGCTGCTCCCTAGACCTGTCCCTGAGCCCCCACCGTGCCCCTGATCCCTCACACCCATGTTTCTCACCCCTGCCCAGGGCTCCTCGGTGACYAGCAGCGGGGAGGTGTTGAAGATGTCAGCCCCTCTGGAGCACCTCAACCTGCACATCCGGGAAGGTTCCATCCTGCCCACGCAGGTGAGTGCCCACCCATCACCTCCCTGGGTGCTGTYCACCCACACCTCAACTCCTAAACCCTCATCCCCAGTGCTCGTGGCCCTACAGAAGCCATGTGTTTGAACCCCAGAAACCAGGAACCACCACAGAGGTGACTCGAGGGAACCCCCTGCACCTCATCGTGGCCTTGTCCTCAAATGCCACCGCCTGGGGGGACCTTTTCTGGGACGATGGCGAGAGCCTGGACACCTTTGAGAAGGGAGACTACTCCTACGTGGTGTTCAATGTCACGCAGGTGGGGTGTGGTGGGGAGGGCACGAGTGGGGGGTCCCATGGCACCTGGTCACCTTGAGCTCAGCTGTCCCCTCCTACAGAATGTCTTCACCTCCACCGTCCTCCATGCCAGCACTGAGGCCACCAAGGTCACCATTGGCTCACTGAGCATCTTTGGAGTGCAGACACCGCCCAGCAAGGTCCTTCTGAACGGCCAGGAGAAGCCCTTTTCCTACCTGGAYAACCAGGTATGGCTCCATTCCAGGGTGCCCTTTCCTGGGTGRGGGTCCCCATCCTGAGGGTCTCCATCTCTCCTTCTCCAGGGTCACASTGTCACCAAAGAGGCGGGTGGGGACTCTGTGTGGCTTTCCTGCCATTCCAATATTTAGGGGAACGCATTCTCCATTTCCCTCCTGCCCAGGCTGTACCCCAGAATGTCTCCTGTCCCCCCACAGGTTCTGGCCGTGAGTGACCTTGGCATCAGTCTCCACCAGGGCTTCTCCCTGCAGTGGCTGTGAGTGGGGGGCTGTGGGGTCACCCCCACCTCACCAGCACCACCCACACAGGAGATGCTCGCTGCTCCAGCCCCTGGATGCTGCTATGGAGGGGACATTGGTGACTGTCACTGCTGCTGTGTGTCCCCCTCCAGCTGGGGACGGGGGCGTTGGCTGCTGGGTGCCCCTCGTGTGGTCCTGGGTGCGTGGTGTGGGTGGAGGTGTGGGCACCCCGATCCCTGCTGCAATAAAGGCATGTGGAGAGTTGTCCTGGGAGCATGATGTGGGGACAGAAGGGGTGGCAGGGGRAGGAGGGGGTGGTGGCCAGTGACTGTGGGGCCCCCAGTTTTGGCACCTGGCCTGGGTTCTCCTGACTCCATCCCTCTGATTTCAGCGGCTCAGTTTCAGCCCCAATCCAACCCCCTGATTGCAACCCCACATCCCAGACTCCCAATTTCAGCCACTACTTTTAGCTCTCCAGTTTCATCCCCTGACTCCATCCCCCAATCTCTCCCACTCAACTCACCTCACCTCACCTCTCTGATCCTGAATCCCCCAATCACAGAGTCATTTAGGTTGGCAAAGACCTCAATGATTATCGAGTTTAGCCTTTGACTGATCAAGACCTTTTCAACCAGACCATGGCACTGAGTTCCACGTGCAGTCCTTGAGCATCTCCAGGGCCGGTGACTCCCCCACCTCTCCGGGCAGCCCATTGCAATGTCTAATCACCCTTTCCATGAAAAAAATCTCTGCTGGTGTCCAGCCTAAACTTCCCCTGGTGCAACTTGAGACTATGTCCTCTCACCTTTGCTAGTAGCGTGGGAGRAGAGACTGATCAAACAACAAAAAGCATAATTTTTTTWAAAAAAAAWTCCATTTTCCACGCTTGTTCTGTACATATTTCCACACTCGGCGCTCTGTGACCCCCCCGAGCCCGCGGGGGCGCAGTTCCTCCTCCCGCCCGCCAGACGGCGCTGCGCGGGGGGCGGCGCGGCCGTGCGGCGGTTCCGGTTCCGTGTGGCGGCGGCCGCCGCTCGGTGCCGGCTGTCGGTGCCGCTGTTCGTCTCTCCGTGTGTCCGTGTGTCCGGCTGTCCGTGTGTCCGTGTGTCCGGCTGTCCATCCGTCCATCCCGGCTGCCATCGGGCCGTGCCGGGCCCGCTGCTCGGCGGCGCCATGAACCGGCCCAAGGCGGCGGCCGTGCGGCGGCCCAGCGCCGTGCCCAAGCCGTCCGGTGAGTGCCGGGGGCCGGCTGGGGGGCTGCGCTGCTGTCGCTGTCTCTCGCTGTCGCTGTCGCTGTCGCGGTCTCTCCCTGTCGCGATCTCTCACTGTCGCTGTGTCTCCCCTCGCAGCTCACCCKCCGCCCGGAGATTTCATCGCGCTGGGCTCCAAGGGGCAGAGCGGCGAGGGCAAGGCCGCCGTCACGCTGCTGAAGCCGGCGCCGCCCGGGCTGCCCTCGGAGCGCAAGCGGGACGCGGCCGCTGCCTTGGCCGGGCCCGCCGGGCTGCCCGGCCTCACCAAGCGGCCCAAGCTCTCCTCCACGCCGCCCCTCAGCGCCCTGGGACGCCTGGCAGAGGCGGCCGTGGCGGAGAAAAGAGCCATCTCGCCCTCCATCAAGGAGCCGTCTGTCATCCCCATCGAAGGTGAGGCATCGCTGTCCCCTCCTGCCGAAGCCGCAAGAAACTTCTCCTTTCTCTGGAGTCTCAGCTCAAGAGTCTTTCTTGAAGTCTACACAGTAATTACGTGCTGTCCTTGAGGTTTTTCTTCCCTGGATATAGGGCTGAAGCCATGGTTTCCTCTTCTGTTGGCATTGGGTTATGTCCGTTCTGTCCGAGAGCTGTTTAGGAGCCGTGTATGAAATATGCCCTTGAGGAAATCTCAAAATCTGGATTGTGCTATTCTATTCACATACTTCTTTAGCAGGCTCTGGGTCTGAATGTTGCCTTTTGAATTGTCGTTCCATTTCTGATGTTGGTACATTTGCAGAGGAGTGTGCTAGCGTGGCAAAACAATTAAGGGGCATTGTCGGTTGTGAAACAGAACTTTTAATGGCAATTGGGTAGGGAAAAGCTATTGTAGGGGCTAAAAGTGAGGTGGTCTGTGCTTTGCTGTCCCTTGAGAGTGGTCCTGCAGCACCTCAGGGTGATTATTTGAGGGTAAATGCTGATCCTGTGTGTTGGTGGTTGCAGTTGTCCCCACGGTGCTGCTGGATGAGATTGAGGCAGCAGAAGCAGAAGGCAACGATGACCGTATTGAGGGSGTGCTGTGTGGAGCTGTGAAACAGCTGAAGATGAACAGAGCCAAACCTGACACCACACTCTACCTGAGCCTTATGTACCTGGCAAAAATCAAACCCAACATATTTGCCACCGAAGGGGTTATCGAGGTGAGGACTTGTGAACTTACTGAGGGATCRTTGCTGCCAAATTGTGAGCAGAGCTGCAGTCTCTCTCAGGCTAGAGCATGATCTGCAAGGCTTTGTAAATACCAGAGCTCTGTGACAAGCTGCTGCAATTTGTATTTCTCTTCCTTTCTCAAAGATGTCATGTTTATTATTTTGGTTTTTTTTTGTGATTGATATTCCAGGCACTGTGCAGTTTACTCCGAAGAGATGCCTCCATCAATTTCAAAGCCAAAGGGAACAGCCTTGTGTCTGTGTTGGCATGCAACCTTCTCATGGCTGCTTATGAAGAGGATGAGAACTGGCCAGAGATCTTTGTCAAGGTGTGTGAACTGAGAGGACTTCTGCTGGACAGAGGCAGTGGTGGACAGATTGGGTTGGGAAATGTGGATATGTTGGGTAGGAGAGCAGCACAGGATTTATTACAGTTGAAGGGAAGGGGGTAGCTAGTGTCCTCTTGTCCAGTGTGGGAATGAAGCTTGAGGAGGCAGAAATTGAAGCCTGGGCCCATACTTTTAAAGAAAAATCTCCATGGTTTTCTGGAATGTGGCCTCCATTGCCTTTTTTTGCCTTATCTCTGCTCTTCTCTGAGATGTCTTTGACAGTCTGTCTTGAGGTAAGTATTGCAGAGATTTCTTGCTGTCTGTTTGGTCTGTAGAGATTAAAACAGCCCATTAATTTAAAAAGGCTGAGCTGACCAGCTTCTGTTTTCTGATGGCAGAAGTTGTTGTAAAGTCTTTCTTGAGAAGCTGCCCAGTAGAGCATGGGATGTGATGATTTGTTTGTTTTTTTTTTCTTGTGTGTGACTTGCTTGCAGTCATCTGRTCTGGTTTTCATCCATGCAATGGTTATGCTAGTTTCCTACTTTGCATACTGGAAATCCATAGAAACTCACAAATACTCCTTGAATTGACCCCCTGAATGTGGACTGTTCTCCTTTCTGCAGGTATACATTGAGGACTCCCTTGGCGAGCGCATCTGGGTGGACAGCCCTCACTGCAAGACATTTGTGGAKAACATCCAGACAGCTTTTAACACCAAGATGCCTCCTAAGACCATGCTCTTGCATGGAGAAGTTGGACGCAGCGGAGGGGACCTTAGTGCTGGTAAGAAGGTGTTTGGGAAGCAGGAACAAAGGTTTAGGGAGAGGATGGAGCCTGCAGTGCTTATTGATTTGTGAGGATAGTTTGTTACTGGATGGAGTCATATAGGCCAGGCTTTGCTTTTCCTCTCTTTGGGACTTGTTCATGTCCAGGGGATATTTGAGGGTAGTGAAAAATGGGCCTGTGTGTGATGCAGTGTGAGGAGGTGAGTGGCTGCAGCCTATCTCAGTGATGCTCAAAGAGATCCCTGAAAGAAACTGAATGAACTTGAGCATGAATGATTGATCTCTTGAGAGAGGAGTTGTCTCATGGAGTGTGCTTGTCCTGTCTCTCTTAGGGAGTAGCCCACACCCTTCCATGACAGAGGAGGAGGACAGCCAGAGTGAGCTGCTGATTGCAGAGGAGAAAATGAGCCCGGAGCMGGCAGGCCAGCTCATGCCCAGGTACAGTGCCTCTTCCTCTCCTAACACAGCTGTGTGGCAGATGTGTCTGTAGCTGTGTCTGTGCAGAGCTGGGGCAGGGAGTTCCCTCTCTGTGCTCCTGGGCACCTGCTGGGGGATGCTTAGCATCAGATCAAACTGGTTCCAGGAGAAAAGAGTGGGTTTTGTTTGTTTGAAARTCATACCACAAACAAGAAAGAGTGCTGATGTCTGGACTGGCTTTTGTGGARATGAGTAAAGTGCAATTTGTGTGGCCCAGGTATGAAGACCTTGCAGAGAGTGTGGAGGAATATGTCCTGGACATGCTTCGGGACCAGCTCAACCGGCGGCAGCCCATGGACAATGTCTCCAGGAACCTCCTCCGGCTGCTGACAGCAACCTGTGGCTACAAAGAGGTGCGTCAGATGGCYGTGCAGAGGCTGGAGATGTGGCTGCAGAATCCAAAGGTAAGGACAGGAGCTGYTGAAGCACAACCCTGCTCTGGAATCCAGCCAGGAAGGCTGCATTCTGTACACCAGTAATGGAAAGTGGCTGGAGCTTTTCTGTTCTTTCTTTGCAGTTGACCAAGCCAGCTCAGGACTTGCTGATGTCAGTCTGTATGAACTGCAACACCCACAGCTCTGAGGACATGGAAGTTATCTCCAACCTGATCAAAATTCGTCTCAAGCCCAAAGTCCTTCTCAACCATTACATGCTCTGTGTCAGGTGAGGGTCTGTGATGGGAAGAGGAAGCACTGTGGGAGATGTGCCCAGGGACTTGACATCCTCAATGTCTCTGCATAGTGATTTCAAATACCAGCTTGGGAGCATGGAGTGTCCTGTGTTCATTTAAATGAATTTCATTGTCCTGGAAGTCTTTCAGTGTCCTTTGATATTGTCCTTTGATATGTGCTGTTCCATCCTTTTCACTTTTGTGTGCTACATTCTTCAAGGAGAAATCAAAACAATGTGTCCAGCTGCAAYGAAATGTTAGCTCAGGTATCTCTGTTTTTTCATTGCAGAGAGCTGCTGAATGCACACAGAGATAATCTGGGCACCACTATTAAATTTGTGATTTTCAATGAACTATCAAATGCAAGAAATCCCAACAACATGCAGATCCTGTATACTGTGCTTCAGCACAGCTCAGAGCAGGCACCAAAGGTAGGTGCAGCATCTYGTGTGAGTGCCAGTGACCCCAGAACCCTGGCAGATTTAGTTGTTTTGAGGCTCAGATGAATCTTTACACAGACACCTGTCTGAGCCATATCATACTACTTTGAAATTCTATTATTCTTGGTAGAAATAAACATAAATGGGCATTTTCTAACATTTGAATGATAATGTAGTTTCATGGGGGACACATTATTACAGCTCCTCAGGGGTCTAAAGGACAGAACATCAGCAGCATGTTTTCCTTGTGTCTCATCATGTTGTGGATGCAGCCCCATGACAGTGCACTGAAAGTTTTCTCTCTGTGTGGCCCCAGTACCTGGCAATGGTGTTCCAGGACCTGCTGACCACCAAGGATGATTACCTGCGAGCTTCACGGGCTCTGCTGAGGGAGATCATCAAACAGACAAAACACGAGATCAACTTCCAGGCTTTCTGTCTGGGTCTTATGCAGGAAAGGAAGGAGGCCCTGTATGCAGAGATGGAATTCAAGGTACCATTTTTGACCCTCATGTTGCTGGATGTGCCAGTGATGCACTGAGCTCTTCTGTATCTGCTTTTCTGGGCTTTGGTATCTGAGTGAGTCACTATTTGTGTGTCTCATAGCAGCACTCCCATATCTCATTTCCAAACACCCATGTTCATCATTTTTGRTGACAAAACACTTCCAGAAGGCAGCTTTGGGTATTGCTATTCAACTCGCTCTTTTTTTCTTTTCTATTTTAAGGAGMGGTTTGTCATCCACATAACCGACCTGCTAGCTGTCTCCATGATGCTTGGTATCACAGCCCAGGTGAAGGAGGCTGGAATTGCTTGGGACAAGGGAGAGAAAAAGAGTAAGCAGAAGAAGCTAAGTTCTCTCTGATGATGGGCATTTTGGTAGACACCTGCCCCTGATGTTGGGAGCCTGTTGTCATCCTGGGACTGACAGAGATAGCAGATGTGGTGTTTGCATGGCTGGGTGCTTCTTTTGTCTGTGGAAGCAGAGAAGCTGGGAAGGGGAGCTGTGGATGGAGGGTTCTCAAGCCTGAAGGGGCAGCTGTAAGGATTTACCAAATACCTGGGGCTGAGAGGACAGGCCTTTGGSATAACACTGATAGGATTCCCACACGCCTTCTCACAAAACTGATCCATCTCGCCTGTATGTTGGGGGTTTTGCTGCTGCACATGTCAGAAAGCAAAGTGCATGTTCTGTCAGAGCTGGGGGGCTCAAGTCTTTCTCACATACTGCTCTTCTCTGGCTCCCTTCTCTAGTGGAAGGTGTTCCTGCCTCTGGTGCAGGAGGTGGAACAAGGTGATCTTTAAGGGTCCTTCCAACCCTAACCATTCTGTGATTTACTGTTGATACTTCAGAGCCCTCATTACTGTCTTGAATCTGCCACCCTCCTGCTTGGCTCCTGATGGGGCCCTTGCTGGTGTGTACTTTGTAACCTGACTGTTTTTCAGACCTGGAAGTGCTGCGCTCTTTCCAGAACCAAATTGCTGCTATCCAACGCGATGCTGTCTGGTGGCTGCACACAGTTGTTCCATCTATCAGCAAGCTGGCTCCAAAGGACTATGTGCACTGGTGAGAGTCAGCCTGGTCATCTCTGAGCATAACCAGTCCCTTCCCCAACAGTGTGATGTGTTAGGAAAAACCAGGTATACGCCAGGGTTTGGTTAGATTTCTCCCATTTTCAGACAGGGAGCAGAAGTAGTTTTAGCAGAGTTCAGTCTGGGACTGTCTCCATCTCTGAAATTCCTTCAGATGCATTCTCTTAYGAGAAATATATGATGATGGATAATATTTCTGATTTGTGTTATTTGGGTCCACTCAATAGGGGATTTCTAGTTACCTGACCAAACACAATCCYGTGTTTTTTCTGTCTGAAATCCTTGTTCAGGCTCTGTGGCTGAGGGCTCCATGGATAATTCTGTCTTCAGGAGGACAGGTGGTATCCTGGGGACTTGGTACAAGGCTTTATTGAGGCAGGTCAAGCCAGAATTAATCATAAGCAAGATAAATCAGTGAGAGTATAAAACCCCAGGGCCCATACTGTATCATCCTCTCCRTTCTGATTCATGTTTTCACTGTTGCTAGACTCACTCATCTGAGGAAGCTCCTTCGTGTGTAGGATGGGAAGCTTTAACAGGATTTGGGGGAGACTGGACTGTTGTGCATTCTTGAGCTGCAGTGATGTGTTTACTGTCCTCTTCATCTCTACAGCCTCCACAAGGTGCTCTTCACAGAACAGCCAGAAACCTACTACAAATGGGACAACTGGCCCCCTGAGAGTGACCGCAAGTGAGTGTGTGCCCCTCCCGTGGCGGGTGCAGGTGGGGAGCTGCTCTAGCTGGAGGCACAGGAATGGCTTTTTGSTGATCCTTATATAGCTCTGTGTTGGAAAGGCTTGGAGCTGTGCTCAGATTTTCTTCATCTGTTACCCTGCCATAAAATTGAGCGGTGTTGTTCCACTCTCCATCTGTTCCTCTTCCTCCTTCATTCCTGTTCCCTGTGCCAAGCTSTTCTGTATCTTGGAGTTGTGAGGAGGGCAGCCCCGCACTGTGTGGGTAACTGGGGTAACGTCAGGGAGCTCAGACTTGAGGAGGCTGAAACACAGAGGTACAAGGCAGTGACACTCCAATAAGAATTTGTTTCACATAGTAACATTTGGAGCTGGAGACCGGGGAAGGTATCCTAAGCAAAGCTGAGTGGAGGGTTCTAGGAGCCCTCACGCTGCTGTTTGAAGTGTGATTGATGTCTGGTGTCTCCTGCAGCTTCTTCCTGCGCCTGTGCTCCGAGGTGCCCATCCTGGAGGACACCCTGATGCGGATCCTGGTGATTGGTTTGTCMCGGGACCTGCCCCTGGGCCCTGCAGATGCCATGGAGCTCGCTGACCACTTGGTGAAGAGGGCAGCAGCTGTGCAGGCAGATGGTGAGGCTGCACACAGCTCCCACCAGCAGGAGCTGGCTTCTGTCTCCACATCCTCTTACTGCCACCCAGGGCTGAGACAGCTCCTACCACCCAGCAGAGAGCCTTTGCATCACTTAAAGCATATTTTAGTCGTGATGGCTAAGCATTTGGCTCAGAGCCAGACAAGTACTGCTGTTGCTTTCTCACTAGAGAAGCTTCTTATTTTCTCTTACTGTTTCTCCCTGTTACTAATTTTGTATCATGGAGTGTTTGGGAAATTATTGGTTGTGAAGAGAATGAAGGACTGTGAACAACCACCCAGAGTTTTGAGTCAGCATTTTAAAATTCAATTTAGTCCTTCATACATACTGTAAAATGAAATTTATAGRCTATGCAAAAATGGAAGGGTTGGAAGTTAAATTAATTAACCAATTGTGTGCTCTTCCCAAGTTCATTATTGCTACACTTACAGAATAGCAGTTACAAGAGCAGTCTTTACTCTTACCCCTTTTMTGAATTAATTTAGCATTTGTCTAAATCCCTGCATTGCTGGGAAATATGTCCATTCAGCTGAGCTGTATGTGTTTTTGGCAGAGTTGAGGATGTTGTCACAAGTTTGATTCTAAAGCATCTTACACGCTCTTAGTGCTGACTGGTTAATGGTAGACTTTAATCCCAAGCTGGTCATGGAATGATCTAGACCTTGCTGTTCAATATCCTCTGAAAATGTGTCCAGGTTCTCATACAGCATTTAAATCCTGCACCATTTCAAATACTGGAAGACTCAGAATGAGTCTGAAAACTTGCAACTAAGTTCAAATGCATTTTAGTTCATCTGAGCCCCAGAAGTTCTGATTTGTTGCTTACCTGAARGAGTATATCCAATTCTGAAAAAGTTACAAATATCATATTGGATGGATTTGGGAAAAAAAATACCCTTAAGAATTTAAACCAAATTGCAACTGCAAAGATCCATATCCTTATATATTGACTTAGAGGGTTTTTTTAAGCGTTGTTGCTTTTTAAATGTTGATGTTTTGTTTCTGTAATATCATGAGAGCAAGCCCACAATAACATAGTTGCTTGAAGTAAAATTTTTTTTACACTGTTAACGCTTTTCTTGAAGGAYTTTCAGGCAAGTAGACAGGTCAATAACTTGTTTGGTCTTCTCCTCCAGATGTCGAGGTCCTGAGGGTAGAAAGAATCCAGCTGATCGATGCAGTCTTAAATCTGTGCACTTATCACCACCCAGAGAACATCCAGCTACCCCCAGGGTAAGGCTTATCACACTGATAATCTTGCTGTGATCTACCTCACTTTCACCTTGTGACTAACATTCCTCACTCACAGATTTTAAGATGCTTTTCTCTATTAAAATTTGTAAGAACAAAATGAAAAGGAAGCCTTTTCAGGGTCATGTTCAAGTGGGTATTTCTCCTGAGTCATGGAATGTGCTTTGCTATGCAAGCACTGACCTTTCTGCCCTAGAAATCWTCAGCTGTCCCTCCTGAAAGGTTTTTTTGTGTGTTTGTGTGTGTTTGTTTTTTGAGAAAACCACTGAACTGGCATGACTGAATCTAAGCAGTGCATGATTAAGGAGAAAAGCAAACTTGAGATGGGCTTTAGGAGCCAAACTTGGCCACTTCTCTCTGTTGTTGGCTTTTGCAGGTACCAGCCTCCAAATCTAGCTATTTCTACTCTCTACTGGAAAGCCTGGCCTCTCCTGCTTGTAGTGGCTGCATTCAATCCTGAAAACATTGGTGAGTGTGGACATTTCTCAGAATACCAGTTCTGCTGCAAAAAGTGGCCAAAATGCTTYCTGCAGAAATCTGGTTGCTTGTGTGCATGGCCTGTGCTGGGTTGGTGAGGTAACTGCAGTTAAATAACTGTGGATCTCCTGTTATTGGGTGAAAAATGCATGCAGGTGGGGTTTGGGCCAGCACGTGTCTGTAATTACCTTGTTAGTGCTCTTGAGTGTTACCAGCTGTTTTGAGTTTGTCTCCCCACCTTGTAAGGTGTGACAGACTATATAAAAGCTCTGGTTTTTTTTCCTGTCTTCCTGATTGTTTTTTTCTTCTTTGCTGCAGGTCTGGCTGCGTGGGAAGAGTACCCCTCTCTCAAGATGCTCATGGAAATGGTCATGACCAAGTTAGTATGGTTAAATCCCTGCATAAATCAAATAGGCTACTGAAAACACCCATTTCTGAATTAAGTTTGTGCCATGCAACTRCTTCCTTTCCAGTGGGACTGGTGTAAAATAAACTGGCATCAACACTGTAGTTGGAGTGGGAAAAGTGCCTTCCCTTGACAGAAATATTATAAGCAAGGGAATAAAGCTGAGAAAAAGGGGGAGGGGGATGACTGTGCTGTGCCTTGCTGAGAAGGTCTCASTCTCCTGGCTCCAATGAGAAACTGCTTGGTTTTCTCTCTGTTGTCTTTCAGAGCTGAGGTCCTGTKTTCTTTCTGACTGTGCTTCATGAATTTTGAATAGGACAAGATAACCATTTCCTTTTTTAAAATTTCTTTTCACAGTAATTATTCCTACCCTCAATGTACCTTGACGGATGAGGAGACGCGCACAGAGATGATTAATCGTGARCTCCAAATCTCCCAGAGAGAAAAACAGGAGATTCTTGCATTTGAGGGTCATCTGGCTGCTGCATCCACWAAACAAACAATTACAGAAAGCAGCAGCCTCTTGCTGTCCCAGCTGACAAGTCTGGACCCTCAGTGAGTAGCCTTCTGCATTCTGGTGCCTTTGTGAAATCCCGGTTAACACTAGGCAGAAAGCCTGCTCCTCCACAGGGTGGTTGATGTGGGCAAGAAGAGTCCTGTGGTGTGGTAGCCTGTGGGATCATAGAATCATGGAATGGTTTGGGATGGAAGGGATTTTAAAGATCATCTGTTTCTGCCTGTCACCTTCCTGTAATGTCCCCATGCACTACAGAACAGACTGATCCTCCTCAGGCCAGAGTGAAGATCTCAGCCTGTGGATAASTTGTTGTTTCTGTGACAGGGGCCCCCCTCGCAGACCTCCACCACATGTCCTGGAGCAGGTGAAGAGCCTGAATCAGTCGCTTCGCTTGGGCCACCTTCTGTGTCGCAGTCGCCATCCTGACTTCCTKCTCAACATCATTCAAAGACAGGTGGGTTCTGTTGGCCCTTCCCTCTGTAACTTGAGCAGAGTGGGGGCAAAAGGAATCTAAGTGARATTCAGGGGAAGGTGGTTTGCTGCTCAGGAATTAAATGATGAGTGTGYTGCATCTATTGTTGCTCTCATCCTTTCCAGGCCTCATCACAGTCAATGCCATGGCTGGCAGATCTGGTTCAGTCCAGCGAGGGCTCCTTGGATGTCCTGCCTGTGCAGTGCCTTTGTGAGTTCCTGCTTCATGATGCTGCTGATGAATCGACCTCAGGAGAAGAAGAAGAGGAGGGTGAGAGTAAGGACCAGCGTGCCAAGAAACGCCAGGTGAGCAGTGTCTGGAGATCCTTCTGTACCTGCTTGCTCTGCATCCCAGATTTGGTTTCACTGGACAGGCCAACTTCTTGCTCCACAGAGACAACAGAAACAAAGGCAGCTGCTTGGACGYTTGCAAGACTTGCTGTTGGGACCCAAAGCAGATGAGCAGACAACCTGTGAGGTGCTTGACTACTTCCTGCGACGCCTGAGCTCCTCCCAGGTGGCTTCCCGGGTGCTGGCCATGAAGGTGAGCAGAATGAAAAAACATCTTGACTGAGGTTTGTCAGAAGCCCAGAGCWGAGCCCTAGACTGAGTTCAGAGCCAGCACAGTGAAATTGTTTCATGTTCATCCTCCTTCAGTGACTTGTCTCCACCTCCAAACCCCCATCAAATGCACTTCTGCACTCTGCTGCTCAGAAGTGTTTGTTCAACAGCCAAATTGTACTTTTTTCTTAAGATAGAGCTGGCTTTTGGTACGTTTCCTGTGAAGTTCAGGTGTAGACTCAGAAGACTGTGTGCCATGTGGAGCAATTTGCAGAGTCTGTTATCTGTGGGGAGTGAGTGAGTAGTGAGTGAGTGCCTGGTGCTCTGGAGCACAGTCAAGGCAAAGAGAATTGCAAAGAGCTCAGAAAGATCATGATCAGGCTGAAAATTCAAGCAGGGTGTCTGTCAAGAAAACACATTAAATGAGATGAAACCTGTTGCATGCTGTATTTGGATCGTGCTGTGGTGTTTGAAGCTTGTTTCTGTGACATTCACTGCTATGGAACAGCTCTGTCCATGTGATTTGTGCAGGGCCTGTCCTTGGTGCTGTCAGAAGGAGGAATGCGTGATGGGGAGGAGAAGGATCACCCCATGGAAGAAGATTCTGGCGATTCTGAGCTGCTGCAGGGATATCAGTGGCTGCTGAGAGACCTCCCGAGGCTGCCCCTGTTTGACAGTGTGAGGGCCACGACAGCTCTGGCCTTGCAGCAGGTGGGTGTGAGCAGTGGAGGGATCAGTGCCCAGCTTGTTCTTTTTCTGCTCGTGCTAAAACACTGAACAAGCTCTGTCTGATTGTGACACTGACGTGTGTATGTGCTTGCAGAAGAATTTTTCTTATGTTGGTACTTGTTTTCATTAAATCCTGATTTCTAATGAAAGAAATTCCCATTCTAGGCCATCCACATGGAGACAGATCCCCAGACCATCAGTGCTTACCTGGTGTACCTCTCCCAGCACGCCCCAGTGGAGGAGCAGGGACAGCACAATGACCTCGCWCTGGTGAGAGGAGGGATCTCATGGGGGACATGGGACATGCTGTATCAGCACAATGAGTTTTTGGGAGCATGTTTCTGTCTATGTGTGTGGGTCAAAGGGCAGCCCATGTGTCTGGTTCATGTAATGAAATGAGATCAGAGCAATAACCTGCAGTGCAGCCCATCAGATGGAATGGGGAATGCAAGAGTGGAGAGTGGTTTGAAGGAAATCCCACCACCTGGCAGTGTTTCATGAGTAAGCAGTGTGTGCTAAACCCACAGTCATATGTGTTTGGGGAGAGATTGGGAATCAGGAACTTTAGTGATGGGATATGTACTCCCCTGTAACCAAAACTAGCTTTCTGGGTTTATTTGTGTGTGTAGATTTTGTTCTTTTTTGAAAAGCTTTTGGTGAATTTTTTTWAAATATTTTTTATWTAAATTTTTCTCTYTGGGTACCTTTTTCTTTGCTTTTAAGTCTCATGTGCTGATAGTGCCTCCATAGATCTGTTTATATACGTAGAGGAGGTTAAATGATAAGCATCAGTAGATTTTTTTCTTCAGAGAAATGCTATATAAATGGTTCCTCTGTAATGGGGTGCATCAGAATGCATCTGTGCTCCACTGGAGACGCTAAGATTCATGCAAAGCACTGGCCTTTTCCCTCTTGTGTCAGCCCTGCTCTTGACTCCACAAGCTGATCTCCAGAGTGGTGTTTACTGGGCTGATGATGGAAACTGGAGAATGATGCAGTGAAATGGGGACCTGGCAGTGTTTTGCAGTAAACACCTCCTGGATGTTTTTTCCTTGCAGGATGTAGCCAGACTGATCGTGGAGCGYTCCACCATCATGTCCCACCTGTTCTCCAAGCTCTCCTACAGTGCTGAGTCAGATGCTGTGCTCGTGGCTCTGCTCTCCATCTTCTCCCGCTACATCAAGCGCATGAGGCAGAGCAAGGAGGGCGAGGAGGTGTACAGCTGGGTGAGTGCCTCCCTGCCTTACCTCTGCAGGTCACAGAGGTCACAAGTTAGCAAAAGAGAAGCCTTTTATGGGTTGCTCAGTCTGAATAAACCAGGTTTACCTCAAGAATTCCCTGATCTGAAAATAATCAGATTATGGCGTAGTATCAGAGCCAAGCCTATGTGTTTGCAAAAAGCTTTTTTATCTTTTTCCCCAATATCTTTTGTGGCCACTGTTGGAGATATTCAGTCAGACCAAACTTCTCAATTTGTCCATTCTCATGTTCTCCTTTCTCTCCCCACCTTTGCTGTGTTTTTCTGCCTTTCTCCAGTCAGAGTCCCAGGATCAGGTGTTCCTCCGTTGGACTAGTGGGGAAACAGCCACWATGCACATCCTTGTGGTTCATGCCATGGTTATTCTCCTGACACTGGGGCCACCTCAAGGTTGGTGAAGTATGCTCAGATTTTTTTGGGGGGTAATGAACAATACAGGGAGGCTTTTCTTTATCTGCTGTCTAACATGTCAGGCTGGTGTTAATCCTTCTACTCACAGGCTTGACCRTTGCAGTACTTGTTTGTAGCTGTAGGATTTATCAGAATATTGCTGCAGAGAGTGAAGGATTTACAGGCTRATTTCTTTTTTGTCTTCTGCAGACAGCAGGAAATACTAAAACAACGTTGTGCTGTGGCGTATTGATAGAGAAAGACAGGGTGTTCTAAGTGCTTAGGAACATGGGAAATAATTCTGTATCCCTTCTTAAGCAGGGGATGGTGATTTTTACACCTTACTGGATATATGGTTCCCGGAGAAAAAGCCCCTTCCTACTGCTTTTCTGGTTGACACCTCAGAGGAGGCTCTGCTGCTCCCTGACTGGCTGAAGCTGCGGATGATCCGCTCCGAGGTGCCACGCCTCGTGGATGCAGGTGAGCCTGTGGCACGTTTGTGGGTGTTTCACACCTTGCTGAAAGGAAAGGGAGAGGCTTTCCTGCTCAACTGTGCCCAGTAATCCTACTTGGATGCCTTTAGATGGGAACCATCAGTCACTATTACTTTTAAAGCAAGGGAGTGAGTSTGCATGGGTATTGTGCTTTCTGTGTATTTTAAAGGAAATGGGGGACTCTGAATTGGGGTCCCATCTCTTTTACAACAATTCAGATGGAGCTAAGCTATGCAGTCACCAGACAACAGGCACTGTGGAAAGCTGTGCCTGAAGATGTGAGCTAAATCTCTGGTAGCTTTGGTCCTCATACCACTTGTCAGTGCTCTCTTTCTTCTTGGTATTCAGAGCTTTCATCCCATTTTGCTAATTAAATGACAGCTGTCTATAGCCAAGGATTGAATTATTCAATAATTCCTGCCTGCAGCCATCAAGAGATAGGGTGGAAGTTATTCTTTAATACAAATGATTGCGTTACTGAGGTTCTAATAAAATTAAACAGAAGATCAAATTAGCCAGTGAGTGAATTAACTGGAAGATGCAATAAGGCAGCAATGATTTGCAGAGGAAAGAAAATATAGTAGGCAGCTGTCAGATTTCTGGCTTTAGGCTCTCTTCATCCCTATCATTAATGTGTCACTGTTGGTCCAGACAATAGCATAAGGATCAGGTAATAAAGATGACTGTCTGTGGTCAGCTCAGGGGTCTGAGCAGTCAGTGTTTTTGTATTTCAGCCCTGCAGGACCTGGAGCCACAGCAGCTGCTTCTCTTTGTCCAGTCCTTTGGAATCCCAGTTTCCAGCATGAGCAAACTTCTGCAGTACCTGGATCAGGCAGTATCTCATGACCCACAGACATTGGAGCAGAACATCATGGACAAGAGTAAGAGCTACATGAGGCTGACCAAGGATTTTACTTTTCCTTGAGCAGTTTCCATGAATATTTCCTGTGACTTCCTTGGAAGAATCCAAGCTAGTTCAGCAAACTCTGTGCACAGGCTGCCTTGGAGCTTGTTGTCACTGTAGACACCTGGGTGACCCTTGGCTGTGTTTCTGGAAATAGAAAAGGATTTTTTGGATTGGAGAGTGCAGAGTCCAAAAGTACTTTGGAAGGTACTTTGTCAAAGAAACAAAGCTTCCAAGGGATCATGTTTACAAAACTCTAGGGGAATAGCAGATTCTCTTGTSTGGGGTAGTTGTACAAACAGCCAATTATATTATGCTGTACTGAGGAGGGTCTTCTCTTTTTTTCATTTTTCAGACTACATGGCTCATCTTGTGGAAGTTCAACATGAGAGAGGAGCAACAGGAGGCCAGACTTTCCACTCCCTGCTTACTGCCTCCTTACCAGCCCGTAGAGGTACTTCCTGGGACAGCCTAATTATCAAAGTCATCTTCCAAAATTCTCTCCTTTGTTGCTGTTGAGAGGCACAGGCAGAGCTGTCTTCAAAAGCAGTTGTAGTGCAATAAAGCTACAGTTAGACACCAGTCCTTASTAGAGTTTTTTGCTTCTGGCAAAGGGAGAAATTCCAATATTTTTGGAGTTTATTACAATGAGTTTTTCTGAGTGATACAGAAAAATAGGTTTTGCTTAGACTCAAGAGAAAAGCTGCTGAATTGCTCAGTAGTTAGAGACTGTAAAGCTGAAGGTGATCTGATGTTGGGGCTCCAGATGCTAGCTACCATAACAGCATTTTCCTTTCTTTCCTCTTGCAGACAGCGCTGAGACTGCAAGGTCAAAATCTAGTCCTGAAAACTCTCAAAGTCAGAGCCGGATCCGGGCCTTGAGCCAGGTCCGTGTTCTGGGCCCAGAAGATGATCTGGCAAGCATCTTTCTGCAGGTATGGGTACAACCTCCAGCTGAGTAGCTGCTTCCCTGCAGCAGCTTTACACAATCCATCTCTCTTACACTTGCATCTTGTAACCCCTGATCCTGCAGTGTTTGCAGGYAGTAAATATGAAAGCCCTGATGCAGCGAGGCTGTGTCATTACAGCCTGCCAGAGTTGATACTGGAATTTTTTTCTTGTAGTTGGACGTGATGTGGCTTTTGATCATGCCTGGTTCTGTCAGTGCCTACTAGTGTGTTGCTTTCTCTGCACCTTGTTTGTTCTGTGTGTAGTGCCTTGCCCTTCAGCAGTGGAGGCAGGATTTGTGAAATGCTCACAGGGCCCTGGCAGCAAAGCTGTGTGCAAACAGCATTTGTAAATCTGTACTTGTCTGCTTACAGAGCTCCCCTCCCTCCAYTGACTCCAGAAGGAGCCTACAGGGAATTAATTGGCCAAGTTGGTTGTTGGTATTTGGGTAGCAGGATTCCCCTGCAGTGTCAGTGTTGATAGTCACGTTGGGGTTGCAGAGATACTGCTCATGTTTGTGTACCAGGCATCTTGAACAAGCTCTGTCAGAGGGTTCCCGTTAGCCCACAGTCAGTGTAACTGTGAATGTAAATTACTCCTCTGCCTCAGGGAGGTCATGGTACAGCAAACCTTTCATTTCCTGTCACAAATTTCCTCCCTGTTGTACCCCCCAGCTCTTCCCGCTGACCCCGGATCCTCGGTGGCAGAACTCCAGCCTGCGGCCGCTGGCCCTGGCACTGCAGCAGGCGCTGGGACAGGAGCTGGCTCRCATCCGCCAAGGGACTGTGCCAACCAGCGGYGTCACGGGCAGCGGTGTCAYGGGYGGTGTCATCACGAGCARCRGTGTTTCTGCCAGCAGTGTCAYGGGCAGTGTCATCACGGGCACCGGYGGCACGGCCAGCGATGTCACAGGCAGTGTCATCACRGGCASCGGTGTCACGGGTGGTGTCATCATGAGCAGCGGTGCTTCTGCCAGCAGTGTCATCACAAGCAGTGGTGTCACGGGCAGCAGTGTCATCACGGGCACCGGTGCCACAGGCAGCAGTGTCACGAGCAGTGTCATCACGAGCAGCAGTGTCACAGGCAGTGGCATCACGGGCAGTGGCATCACGGCGCGGCTGCTGCAGGCGCTGGCAGCTCTGCTCAACTCCGCGCACGGCGGCGCCCTGGTCATGGCCATGCACCGCCATCACTTCATCTCCTGCCCGCTCATGCGCCAGCTCTACCAGTACCACGTGAGTGCCTTTGGGAGCGTTCCGTCAACAGGGCTGAGGGAGAAATGGGAAATCTGTGGTGKGGCTGCTCTGCTGTGTGCACACCTTGGGATGCTGAGCTCAGGTTGCCTGGTCATGGGCACCGGGATGCAGGCTGGGCACATTAGCCTAGCACTGCTGAGGTTACCTGCACAGTTGGGTGTACCTKACCTAGCCTGGTGACTCTGCAGCACCATGGATTTACAGTTGGGGGGCTCTGTTGGTTTGGGGATCTCTAGATCATGCTAGATTGGACGTGTTGTATGAGCCAGGTAGTTTGCAGGTAGTTTGAGCTGAAGTCTGATTCATAGAGTCATAGAATGGTTTGGGTTGGAAGGGACCTTGAAGATCACCTGGCTCCAATTCCCCTGCCATGGGCGGTCACCTTCCACTAGACCAGGTTGCTCCAAGCCCCATCCAACCTGGCCTTGAACCCTCCCAGGGGTGGGGAGTCCAAAATCTCTCTGGGCAGCCTGTACCAGTGCCTCACCATCCTCACTGTAAGGAATTTCTTCCCAGCGCTCCATGCCACAGGACACTGCCTTCTCCTCSCTCTTCTTCAAAGTGCTGATGCAGATGCTGCAGTGGCTGGAGAACCCYGCCGTGGAAGATGGTCCCCTGCGTGCTCAGCTGAAGGCCTTTGCTGTGCAATACTCCTCAAGGCACCGGATCAATGATGGTACTGGCACTGGGCAGCTTATGGGACTCAGAGGGGACAAAGTGGGACAAGAAAGAGACAAACAAAACTGCACCTGGAGCAGGAAGTGGGGTGGGCAGCCTTTTAGACAAATGTGCTAAGGAGTAATAAAAGTAGTACGGTGTGGTGCAGAAACTCCTTGAGGGTGTGRACAAGTGCCTTAGCTCTGGGGGCTTGCAGTAGACACCTGGTAGCATTTCACCAAGCACAGCAGATCTCTCAGGGAAAGCTTCCAATTTCTCAGGCCAGGAATTTTGTGTGAGCTGTAGTTTTGGTAGATGAGCATGCAGGAATGCTTCTGSAACAAGGTCACATCGTGACTTGTAGAGTTGTTTATCATCTGCCATCCCTTGGAGGCAGGAGTGTAACCAAGAGCTCAGGCATGGAAATGGGTTTGTGCTTTTGGAGCTTTCTCTTGGCCACATGTCCTGTAAGATGCAGGAGAGCTGTCAAGGGCTGTGGTGGCAATAATTGKCAGTAGAAGGTGTGTTTGAATGTTTGAGTAGTTGTGCCCTGGAGCCACTTGGGGAATCTGTAGGAGGGAAGTCTGCTGTGTGGGCTGGCTTGTCCCTGTGATGCCAATGCTGTGATTCCCTTGCAGTTCGAGGTGGCTTCCTGCACCTGACAGAAGCTCTTACTTTCCGACGTGACCCTGACCTGATCAGCTCCACRGTCTGTGCCATCATTGCAACCCTGAAATCAGGAGAGAAGTGTAATGTGGAGCCAGAGCTCATCAGCAAAGGTATGGATGTCCTGCTCTCCTTCTTTAACTTCCAGCCCAGCCCTGCTGTGCAGGCTGTGGGAATCTGCCTTCTCCCTGGGTCAGAAAATGTGAACTGATCTAAACGTGGCCCTGTCTTACATCACCTCCTTCCCCCCACTGTTTGTGTGTTTATAAACTGTGATTGGAGGCTGGGATTAAGTCTCTGTGGAGACCTGTTGGTTTCCACTAACAAATAGAAATGGAAGGCTGCTGTCACAGGTTAAAAATGGCTTTCCTCTTCCTCACTGAGCCTGGCTATCAGGAATATTGCTTACAAGGTTCCATAGCTTTCACCACATCTTTCTCCCTCTGCCAGTCCTTCAGGGTCTGATTGAAACTCACTCTCCATACCTGGAGGAGCTCCTGACTGTCCTGTTCTCAGCTACTGTTGAGACCACTGCCAGGTGTCCTGCCATGAAACCAATTGCTGTGGTGTGCTCCTTGCTGCTCCAGGACAAAGAAGAAACACCGGTGAAGAAGGAGGTGGAGAGCTGCAGGTGAGCCAAGGCAGYGATGGGAATTCACTGGTAGGTCTGGGTGCATGAAATCAGCACTGACAATGGCCTTGCTTTCTCCACAGTGCTGAATCAGCTTGGCCAGGGCCTGCCTCGGGCCTTCTCAATGACTGGCTGGAGATGTTGGACCCTGAGGTCATCAGCAGCTGTCCTGACCTCCAGCAGAAGCTSCTGTTCTCCTGGAACAAAGTAAGAATTGTTGGACAGAGGGGCTGCTGTGCTGAAATGGCTTTCTGGGGTGCTGACCTGCACCTGGAAACAGGGCAAGGGGTAGTTTTGTGTTTTGCCACATGCTATTATATGAGTTCCAAAGCAGTACAGGTTGAGTAGGAGGGGAGTTCTGGTACATCCTTCTCAGGGCAAGGCTTATGTTTCATCTTACCTTTATATTTCCTCAGCTGTGTTCTTTTCAGAACTTCAAAGTGCATTACAGACACAACTCGGTCCCTTAACAGCCCAGCCAGCTGTGTTTTTGTTGATATTTTTGCAGACAGATCAATAGTTTGCCTAAAGTACCATGCCAGGGTTAAGGGTGAAACTGAATTTCCCATCTGATGCCGTGTTCTGTCAGAAAGTGCTGCCCTAAATCCACGTGCTGTCTGTGCTGTCTGCCTTCCTGGATTGTCATCCTTGTGCCATACACAGGACATCTCCAACATCCACCACACCAGGGTCTGTTTATCACATCTCYTCCTCTTTTGGTGCTCCCAGGCAGGGTCCCAGGTGCCCTCCTTCCGCCCGTACCTCTTGGCTCTTCTGACCCACCAGTCCAGCTGGACCACACTGCACCAGTGCATCAGGCTTCTGCTTGGCAGGAGCAGGGAGCAAAGGTGAGTTGTGTTTTTCAGGCCTAGCAAAGGGCTTGAGTTGGGCTTTTGTCTGTCTGAGAGAGAACAAGGGCTGCCCATGTTCATGATGTGTCTGCCAAAAATAGACTTTGTCAGAAGGATGCTGATTTCAGTCCTGCTGATTTGTGTACCTTGATATAAATGTTGCCTACTGTTTGATGGAAGCAGCAGATAAAGATTTGGCTGTGTTCTRAACAGGAAGTGCTAATTGTGGGTAATCCATCTTGCATTGCCCTTGTTGATAATCTTTATGAGCACAGGATTTACAGGATGGCTTGGATGGCAAACTGAGGGCTGTCTCTGTACCTGGGCAGGCTCTGATGGATCTTTTGGTTTTACTAAACTCCATTTCCAGTCTTTCTCTAACCCTTTCATGACATCAGGCTCCCAGTTCYGATCTCTGCAGCAGCTCTCAAATGCTGAAGTGCCACTGTCATGGTATTGTGCTTAAACTTTGTACAGTTGTAGAACAGGAAATCCTAACACCTAATAACAGAAAAAAAAAAGTAGTATTTCAATTTATTATTTTATTCTTGATCTCTTGCTCAAAAATACATGAATTTCTCAGCTCAAGGTAACAGCTGTGATAGGATGTTCTACACACTGGGGCAGTAAGGTCATGTGTCTGATGGTACCAACTGTTTGTGTTGATGACCTACTCCTGGCCTTGGTGCAAGGCTCCACGCAGCCCCCACACTTGCTGAGTGCCATTTGTTCTGCTCTGTACCCTGTGCTGTGYTTATTGCAACCAATATTTAGTCATAATCTGGGAACAGAACCAAGCCCCTTCTCGGGACTTAATAGATCCTATTTTTACATTTGCAGATGTTTCTTTCTTCACAGCACTCATCATGTTTAGTGATGCTTCCATGTGTTTGTGTGCTGCCYGAGGGCTGTGATGACTCTAATTGCAAATCTGTCTTCTTTTGTCTTCTGGCAGGTTTGACCCAACTGCATCCTTGGATTTCTTGTGGGCCTGTATTCACATTCCTCGGATCTGGCAGGGAAGGGACCAGAGAACTCCTCAGGTATTGGTTCAGTTCTTCCAAGATTCATCTCTGCATGGAGTGAGAGGCAATGTTTTCACAGTGCCTGATTTTTCCATGGCCAAGAGGTGGCTGGAGTGACTCAGGTGCAGCGTGCCAAGTTTGCTGCCTGTACCTCAGCTGGTTACTTAGCTGCTCTGCTATGTTACATATTACAGTGGCAATTTAGAGTCCAAAAAGCTGATAGGAGCACACAAGGTTTGCCCACTTGGCGCTTTCCCTGCAGCAATTGCCACAATATCTGGTAAAGGCACAAGGCTAGAGTGGCAAGCAAGCTAAAACCCAGCATGGGATAACTGCCATTTTACAAAGAAAAGGAGGTCATGTCTCTTCTCCACAGAATTTCTTTGGTTTGGTGATTGAATTATGATTTCTGACCCATCACACATGCTGAAATGGAAGTAAATGAAGAAGTAGAGGAGGGGTAAAGAGGTTTTATTTGGGGCTGTGATGCTTTCAGAGCCCTAGATATGATTCTAAGATGTTCCATTCCAATTGGGGAAGGTGTGACTAGAAKGAACTAAGGATCTTGGGATTTGGTGTGGAATCATTTTGGGGTGTTGTCTTGCATTACAGAAGCGCCGTGAGGAGTTTGTGCTGCACCTGAAGGCATCAGAATTGATCAGCATGGTGGAGCTGATCCTGGCTGAAGCAGAGACCAGATACCAGAACACTGACGAGGCCTCCTGCACACTCATCCAGTCTCGACTGCCACTGCTGCTCAGTTGTTCTCATGGAGACCTGGAAAAYGTCAAAAAAGTAACAGAATATTTGACCAGCTGCATCCAGCAGTGGGGKAGCAGGTGAGGCTGCAAATGGAGAGCACTGTCTGCTGGAATTGTATGTTTTGGGCACAGGCAGGCAGGTGTGATGAGACTTGCCAGCATATSTTCATTAAGAATATCATGTTCCAGAGCCTGTGTGAAAAGTGCATGCTCTCCTCCCAGAGGTTTGGGGAAATAACAAGTGATTTTAAGTGGTATTTAGACCAGGAAGGTGACTTCAAAAGTGAAGTTTWGGGGCTATTTTGCTTTCAGGACTGCAGAATGAAATTCTTGACATGCTTGGAGTTTTTTTTCTTTCTTTAAGGCAGTGGTTATTTTTAATTACTAGTTCCTAATGTGGGATTTCTTGTCTACTCATCCCTTGAGTCACTGCTTATAATACATCCTGCTTGTGACTTTTGCTTTCAAAGCTGAATAGAGACCAGATTGTTTCCTAACAGCTATTTTAGGACTGTGGAAAGAACAGGAAGATGATGTTTTTGTGGCAGTGGAAGGAACTGACCTAATTCCTAAGCCTTGCTTATGGGTGATATTAGGAAAGATTCTGAGTAATCTCAGWTGCTTTCTACTGCCTCCTAGTACAGACTGTGCCAGGGGTTTCAGGTGTGTAGAGATCGTGTTGGCTAATCTGAATAGCTCTGGTTCTGACTTCTTTTCCAATTGGGATGGAAATGGCCATGAGTACCACATGCCAGAACTCTGCCCTGGAGATGTAAGCAGAGCTTTCTTGTCCTGTGCCCTTTGTAACTGCAGTTTTCAATCTCCAAATGGCTTAGTGATGGATCCCCATAGACTGTGGATAGATTCCTGTAGAAGGTGAATGATTTGAGTTGTTCAAAAGAAGCAAAGACTTAAAAAGCACTGATTGAGATGAGTGATGTCTGTGTTTTCACATGTTTGCCACGTGCAGGAAGGCTGCTCCTAATCTGATAGGTCTGGGATGTTTGCTGGTTGAACTAACATAGTGGCCAGTGGCTGACCTCTTCCTTTTTCCTTTAGCTCTGTGGGGAAATGCTGCCAGGACCTTCTGCTGCAGATATACCTGCAGCTACCTGAGCTCCTTGTGCCTATGCCTGAGATGCTTCTTACCAGYGAAGGAGCCAGGGACAGCAGCACTTGCAAGGTAAAGTTAGAGGCATAGGAGAGCCCCTTTCCAGTTGTGTGTGCAGAATGGGTGCTACCTTGATGCCCAGTTTRGAAGGCAAGGACTGGCAAAAGCTTCCTGGGTGACTTTGGTTTCTTTATTTTGCTCTTCTCATACCCCCTCCCTGCCTGCACTCTCCAGAGCTGTGGKTTATTTTGCAGTGTCCTTCTATAAAGTAGTTTAAGCTCCACAAGCTTCTTGTGCCAAAGGCTTCTGTAAGGCACGAGCATGCAGGCATCTGATCCTGCTTTGATGTCTGGAGGGACTGTGGACTTCAGATCCTATGCCAGCTGGAACACTGCATCTACCCACAGATTCTACCTGAAAATAATTTCTTTTAACCCCCCTGTGTAGCTGGAAAGGAATTGGGAAACACTGCTGGAGAGCCAGGGGCTGGTTTGCACATTAAACTTCTTAACAGTTTGCTCATTATTTCCCTTCCAGCTCGATGCCCTGGTTCACAGATTCATTAACCTCCTCGCAGACACCAGTGACTCCAAGTCATCCGAAAGCCGYGTGTGGGATGCCAATATGGCCTGCAGGAAGCTGGCTGTGGCTCATCCCATCCTCCTCCTTAGGTACCTCTGTGGGGCTGGGGCTCATTGAAAAGCATCCACCCATGTCCTAGAAAGGGAACAAACTYGCAGCAATCACAATGATGGTGAGACAATTCACCTTCATGTTCAGAAGTCAGGAGAAAAGGCAGTAAAGTTACATCTCTTACAATGAGGCAACACCTCGTGTYTGTCAGGAAATAATCTTGGTATTGGAGACATGAGGGCAGAATATGGGTGGGAAATAGGGCTTGCTGAGTCTATGGATATAGGGATCAAGATCAGGACTCTGAGAGAGGGTAAGAGATTTTACTTTCCAGGGAATGAGGTAACGTGACTTTCCTGAAAGATATAGATGTGTATTTTCTTATTTGGTGTTTCAGGCASTTGCCAATGATTGCAGCACTGCTGCATGGCCGCGTTCACCTCAATTTCCAGGAATTCAGGCAGCAGAACCACTTGACCTTCTTCATCCACGTCCTGGGGATCCTGGAGCTGCTCCAGCCGCAGGTCTTCCAGAATGAGCACCAGGCGGCACTCTGGGACTGTCTCCTSTCCTTCATCCGTCTGCTGCTGGTAGGAAAATCCCTTCTTCCCTTCATGTGCCGGCTGMTGGCCACTAGATGGGGAAGCTCGTGTAAACCACGGCCAGCCTCAACTCTTCCCATTTGAAGGGAAAGCCTTCCTATGCCTAAGAACAAAAAAAAAAAAAATGTATTAAGCACCTTGGAGGGCTTGAAGAGGAGGCAGGAGGAGACCAAGAGACTGCTCCCTGGTACCCAGTGGTGCAGGATGGGGCAGTGCATTGCTGCTTTTTTTTTTGGTTAACTCTCACCTTTTTGATCCTTTCCCAGAACTACAGAAAATCCTCRCGGCACCTGGCTGCTTTCATCAGCAAGTTTGTGCAGTTCATCCACAAGTACATCACATGCAATGCCCAGGCAGCTGTCTCCTTCTTGCAGAAGCACTCGGATCCACTCCAGTAAGCTTCCTTATGCCTGTTGGTCCATGCACAGATTGCCAGGAGCTAATCAGACAGAAGACAGCMAGAGGATGTGACAGAGTAGCTGTTAGTGTGGCACTTTTTCACCCTTGCCTCCCTTAAGCCTCTACTGAGATGAGCAGGGTATCTCCTTTTTATGAATGAAAACTGAGCCCAAGGAAGTCACATAATGACTTTAACTCATATAATGGCCTAAACATCATATTGAGGTGTTAGTGTCCTGCAACCTTTTCCAGAGGGGCAGCTGGAGAATCTGTCCCCAGAGCAGTGGCTGCAGGGTCCCACCTGCACATCTGTGGGGGAAATGCATTGGAGTTCCAGTTATGAAGAAAGGAAAAATCTTGTTTGTGCTTCTGAGAAGCTCTTTGTTTCAGTGTACATATGTGTGCTGTAACCTGTGCTCATGCCCTTTTTACTACTGAAAGCCAAACATGCCACCTCTTTTTCCCAGTGACTTGTCATCAGACAACAGTGACCTTGCAATGCTGAAGTCCCTCCTGGCTGGGCTGAGCCTGCCYAGTAAGAGTGGCATCTTGGACAGGGGCTCTGATGAAGAGAAGGATGGTGAGTCTGGGTGGGGGAAGAGTTACTCCAGGTGGTGAACCTGCAGTGTGTTTTGGAGAACTGGTGTTTTTGTGAGGTGAATGCTGTGCTTGTTCTTGCAAYAGCTCAATGTGTTTAGAGTGGAGAATGGCACTTGTTTGCCCAGTAGTTGGGAGCCAGTAGCTGGGATGGGTTACTTTATTTTCCTGCCAGTGGTATYAGTCCTTGAGCAGAGCAGCCCTTAGCAAGGGTGAGTTTCCTGGCTGTGGATTTTGCCTTTTTCAATCCACACTGAAGGATGGACCTGTTGGGGGGCACTCTAAGGGTACATCCACTCTTCCTCTGTTTATAACTTGCATGGGAAAATGATTCAGTGTTAAAAGAGCTTGCAAAGCTTCTCCTCAGTGTGAGCTGAGGGGGTGACAGGAGGTGCAGTGAGATTAGAGATAYCACAGCATTGCTGGTGGCTCACCATCACACTGCACACTGCTGGGGAATGCTGGCCAGTCCACAGGCTGTCAGGAGTGACCTGCTCTCTCTCTCTCTCTCTCTATCCCCACAGATGAAGCAGCTGCTGGCTCTCTCCCCCTGGTCAGYGTGTCCCTCTTCACTCCCCTGACCCCAGCTGAAATGGCCCCGTAYATGAAGAGACTCTCCAGAGGCCAGACAGTGGAGGGTGAGTGAGGACCTGCAGAGACACAGGGCAAATGAAGACATTTGTCAACTTTGTTACTTATCTGTCAGCAGCAGCCTGGTTTCCTGTTTCAGTCTTGTGTTTGGAGGTCACCAGCAGTTAAGATGTTGTTCMATTTTTGGATTAACTTGTCCATAACCTCCCGTGATTCTGGAACAGAGGCTTCCTRTGATTCTCTTATCACTTAGCTCAGCAATGCTTCAATGGCCTCTGCTTTGAGGCTCTTCAAGGATCTTTAAGTATTTTGAGAGATAGTATGAGTAAATCAAGGAGTGCTACAGTTTATGTCGAGCCAGGTCTGGAGTGCTGATAGCAATGAAATACCAAACTGWTGAGAAGTAGGATTTGTTAGAAATCCCTACATGGCCTTCATGGAAGAAAACCATGTTAACCTGGCACATGGGAACAATAATCTTTTCCAGAGGTCTTCTGAAATGTCACATGTCCAGTGTTCAAACCTAAGTTGTGACAGTTTCCTTTTCAAGGTAGAATAGGACAGAGAAGTCCTGCCTGGACACTGTTTTTGAAAGAGACATTCTGTGAAGATCTTYAGTTACAAAAGAAGGTGTTCTGGGACTAAAACCCTCTCACCCCATTTAATTTCTTCCTCTGGCTGGGCAGGCTGAGATGTGCTGATCTGGCACATCCCTGTTCTCCTTTTTGAAGAGCTGCCTTTATTRCCCTAACTCTGTGTGCAGGTGGGARAACTTGATGGCTTGGRAGATTGGTTTTGTGAAAAAGSAAAGAAAAGACCMTTTACTGGATCAGRGGATTTCAGTCACCCTTTCAACYTGTGTCTTTCCCCAGACATCCTGGAGGTGCTGACAGACATTGATGAGATGTCCAGACGGAGGCCAGAAATTCTTGCYTTTTTTGCTGTGAGTATTGGTGTCTCAAAAACTGTCACTGGAAGGGATTCTTCTCACCAGAGTCTGTGTTGCACAGCCAGCTGAAGCACTACCCTGTGCTTTTTGAGTGGTTGTTACAGCATCTTAGGAGAAATGTATCCTCAGTTAGCCCTTCTGAGAGCAGGTGCTATTTCCCTCCATTGCATACTGGGTCTGCCATCTACTTTAGGTCAGAGAAAGAATTAACCCTCTGTCCCTTCCCAGGATTAGGGCAAGGAGAGAACAGAGCWGCTCTGTTAAAAAAGCTGGAAACTAGGGAAAACTCAGCTGTCCCACATGAAATAAGATTACAGAAGGGTGCTTTAAAGTATTCAAAACCAGGATAATCTGTCATACAAAGAGAGATTTCTGGGGTCAGCCAGTACCTGCTGGATTTGTGTTGGGCTGGTTTGGTGTGGAGGGGGAGTTACGCCAATCTGAGCAGTTTGTGCTCCCTGAATGGTCCCATGATCCAATTTGTCCATCTTTCAGACAAACCTACAGAAGCTGATGAGTTCAGCAGAGGATTCCTGTCGGAACCTGGCCTTCAGCCTGGCTTTGCGCTCCATCCAGAACAACCCCAGGTGAGCYCCCCTGGGACTGGGGCCGTGCTGGCTGGTGATCTGGGCTGCACTGACACTGTCACCTTTCACTCCCAGCCTTGCTGCAGATTTCCTGCCCACCTACATGTACTGCCTGGGCAGCCGGGACTTCGAGGTGGTGCAGACAGCGCTGAGGAACCTGCCYGAATACACCCTCCTTTGCCAAGGTCAGTGGCATCTGCCACCTTTGGGGCACAGTTGGCCCCACAAGGGTCAGAGCTGGGATTCTGTGCTGGGAGGAGAGCAGCTCCCATGGGAAGTTGCCAAGGATTGCTGTTTCTTAGACCAGGCTGTCAAWACCAACAGTAGCTTTGGGCTGAGCTTCACAAGGGGGGTTTGTTGTAGAGACAAGGGGGGCTTCCTTGATGTAGATTTGCTCCCTTAGAGTTTTCTCTGAGTTGTGACTTCTCACATGGTGACAAATCCACAGAGCTGTTAGAGGGTGGATTGTGCCATGTTCTTATGGAAGGAGTGAATTTCTGGTGTAGTTGCAAATATTCACCTAGTGCTTGTTGGTGGATTGCTCTTGCTTGCACGTGAAGCCCTTGGGCCAGTCCTCACTCTGCCTTTCTCTTTCCCAGAGCACGCTGCAGTGTTGCTGCACAGGGCCTTCCTGGTGGGAATGTAYGGCCAGATCGACACCAGCTCTCAGATCTCAGAGGCCTTGAAGATTCTGCACATGGAGGCCATGATATGAACATGTGGTTCTGGGAATTTCACTTCCAGAGGAGTTATTTTAATGGATTCATCAGCTGCATTACAGAARAACAGTGTATTGCACCCCATGTGCTGGAGGATCAAAGAGGTGATGAGGCAGGCCAGACTGTGCTGGAAAAGGAGAGGGTGCTGACTGAAGATYAGAAAGGGGCAAGGATCATTCTGGCTGGTTGAGATGCCATTATTGTGGGAGAAAAATCTCCTGAACATTGTGCCAAACAGGGACCACTTCCTTCATGGGGTCTTGGGGCAGTGGCTGCCCGTTTGTTGTTTAGGGTTTTTTGTCAGTCCAAGAAGGCAGAGCTGCTGAGAGAACAGAAGGGAGTGAATGATGGCCCTTGCACTTGAAGTGTCTGRACTCTCTGTGTTGGAGAGAACATTCAGATTTGTGCAGGGGAAGAGACCACTTTGGTTTCTGGGGGCGGGTGGTTTTTTTTTTTTTTTTTTTATTTTATAATTAAAATTCTCTTTGTTTCCATTGTGCCTTTCTGTGCTCCTTTGGGCGTAGGTTGACATCCCTCTCCCCCTGTTCTTCAGCCTCTTGTTACTCTGGACAAAGCATCTCTCAAAGATCTGTCTCCATGTCCAAGTGCTCACAGAGCTGTCTTGGCTTTTTACAGGATGTGCCAGAAATGRAGGAGCTTTGGCAGGGTCAGTGGGGTACCATGGATGAGTTGGGTCAGCACCAGCTGCTGACAGGGCAGGACAACTTTTAAGAGGTTCTTCAGAAAACTTTTGTTTAAAAACAAATTAAACAGACTTCTTGGTACATCAGCAAACATCCCAGCAGCTGGCCACTGTCACAGTGCAGTCTTTGAACAAGCAGCTGGGTTTCCTTTTTGGGATCTGCCCGTTCCTCCTGTGATTCTTCTGACCATGGCTCTCTGGTCCTTGCCTGTGGATAGGAGTGATGGCTTCTTTGCCAGCTGTCATTTGAGGACAAGGCTGGGGTCAAAAGCTTCCTGCCCCCTGCTCCAGAGAAATTGYTGCTCTGTGTGCTTGTTCTCCAGCCTCACTTAACACTAATCACTAGTTTGTTCTCATGCCATTTGTCTCTATTCCTCTGGTGCTCCACTTGTTAGCAGAGGAACTCTGCAGTATACTGAAGACAAACATCCTGGAGGAATTTTATCYATATCTCCTTGCTGGTGGCAGGGACAGTTGTGACCTCATAGGTGGCTGGGTGGAKAAATATTGTCTGTCCTTGCACATGAGGAATACCACAGCTGAGCACTTTAGCTGGTGTGTCAAAATATGAATGAATGTCCAGCTGGCTTTGCGGAGACATGGAGGAGGAAAGGGGGAGAGCTGAACCTCCCATCAACTCTTAAGTAGCCTTGTCTTTAAACAGAGATTAGAGCCATCAGTTMTGGATGCAACATGCTCTTTTCCTCAGCAGCATCTGCTTCGCATCCGGAGCCACTACTGTGGCAATTAGTTACATATAAATTATGTGGAGGAACAGCTGAAGGAGATCAAGTCAGTGGAATGGCTTTCCTGAGGGGCTCGGTGACAGCAGGATTAACGCCTGACCAAGGGGAGCCAGTAATCTCACTGGGAACCCTTACCTTAGTCCCTTATCACACATCATTAAGGCACTGCTCAGTTTGTCAGGGCAGGGAGACAGTTCTGGTGCTGCTGTGGGCCTAGAGCAGCTGGGAATTTGTGGGACTTGTTGGAAAAGGGTTTTCAACAGGGCTTTGAGTCAAGGAGCAAGAAAAATGTCTCAAGACTGTCATTGCGCAAAGGCAGTGAGTCAAACACAATAGTGGTGCTTTGGTGATGATCCTCTCTGCAGCTGGGGCTTTCCAGAAATCCCACTCGGGGGCTGCATCTAGAAACATTTACAGGCAAAAGCAAACAATGTGGTTGGTCCCAAGTTCTCCTGTGTCTGTTTGGCAATGCCTGTTGTGAGCAGTCCTGGTTTACAGGAGCAGGACATGCTTGGATGTTGGCAGAACTACTTCATGACCCCTCAGTGCAAAACAGGCAGGTTTTGCAGAACTCTGGAAAGAGATGTGTCTGGGAAGGTGAAAGGAGCAGCTCTTCCGCAGCAGCAGCAGCAATCATCTTTTGGGAACTCAGGAAACAATGTCAAAGGGAGAGAATGTGGGTTGAAGTCACTCTGCAGAACTGAGACTTCCCATCCATCTCCCAGTACAAAAGTCATTATCTGTGACTTGTTGATCTTTTTGCTGTATTGAAGGTTCCCACAATGCATTTTCTCTGCTGCCATCCTCTGTTTGGACCCGGTGGAGCTGAGCAGGTTGCCTTGGCTTGRAGCRCATCATCAAAACCAGATCAGTGCTGCAAACAGGGCTGTCAGGGGCTGCCTGGCTGTGTGGAGACAGCTCAGGGCAGGAGCCTGCCCTGCTGTCGGGGAAGGCAGCTGTGACTGCTCTCTAGTCACAGTGGTACTGATGCCCTGCCTRTAATCTGTGCTCTGTAACTTCCATCTCTGCCTGGCTGAGCACCTCTTCTCCTCCCATCGCAGCTGGGCTGACATTGTCACCCTTCACAGCTCTCCCAGGCTCCTCCCRGGGCTGGAGCCMTCTYCTCTTCAAGAGCTTGTGCCTTGATCACCAGAGGAGTGGTGAGGARATGTGCTGGGTCCAAGSCTGTGGGSCCCCATGGCTCACCCAAGAGCAARTCCCTGCTCYCAYCTGCCTTACAGGCAGCACATCCCAAACTGGTGCGAAATGCCTGCTTTAGGCACTTCACCATCTCCTCCATGGAGAGCTTCCCTAAGAGAACTGGGCTGCCACAGCTGGTGTCTGGGGCTGGGGAATGTGCTTAACTCTGGCTTATGGGCAGAGATACTCTGGGAATCCCATCCCAGCTATAGGGGGAGGCATGATGGGGAAGAGAAAACTGGCCAGAGGTTTGTTGCCCATCCCGTGGCTGCAGCCAGCTCAGGGCAAAGCTGGCACTTGTCCAGCATGGACCTCTACTGCTTGGCTGGGCACAAGTGGGCATCTCTGAGCTGGCCATGCCACGCACCTGCCAGGCCCTGTGTGGCTGGAATTGTGGTCCCTCACGTGTGCCAGTGTCCTGGAGCTTTGTGGCTTCCTCACACAGCTCTGGGCAAGGTTGAGCATTCCGGGAACAGTGAGTGAGGGGTATCCTGGAGCAGCACGTGAATCTGGTCATGAGCAGGGCATGACTAACCAGGGAGKTGCCTGCCTGTTCCTGCCTCAGTGGCTGCTGCCCTGCGTGGCACTGGGGAGCTGGAAGAGTCCCAACAGTGAGCTCAGAGGCAAATCTGCCYGATCTGCTGCGTCAGAAGCAGGGAGAGGTGTGCAGGTAACAGCCACCAGCTGGGGTTTCATGGTTAAAAGCTGATGTGCCAGCTAGAAAAAATGAGAAAGGGTAAAGAGAAGCCTCACTTTGCAAGGGGCAGCAGGCAAGTCTTGTGCAAAAGTAAAAGGAGAGGAAAACTCTATCTCCATTACCTCGCCTCTGTGAGTGGAGTCTGTTTCCAGGACTGCTCCCTGGGGCCCTACCATCCTCTTCCTCCAGCCAACCCCATCTGTGACCTCCATCGGTGACAAATGCAATCCTGGCCCTGCCTGCCCTCAATTAACTTCCTTCTGGCCATGCCACAGTTCAGGACAGTATCCTTCACACTTAACTCGAGTTAAAAACTAAAAATGGTAAAGACTTTTGTTAACTTTGTGAGTGTCAAAGCCAGCCCTCTGCCAGCTAAGTAGYCTGGCTGCTACAGGGGTAGCATTTGCCTAAGGGGGACTGATCTCTGTTTTACTTCTCCTTGTATTTAAATAACCTGCCCCTAAAGCAGCAGAACATAGACCTGGCAATTTCCTGTCATTTTAAAATCAGAAAATCTCTATAGTAACGTATCTGCCTGGCCTGCATTGCTGGTGGTGTCTTACCTTTGGTGTCAGCCTATTTTCAGGAACAGCATCTCTAACACAAGAAGATATTGGCAAAAAATGTCAAGACCCCCAGCAACAATTAAAAAATTAATTAAGCTACAMTAACCCAGTCATTGCTGGGTAATTATTAAGCTGTAAGAATTGCTAATTGTCTTATTACCATTAAGCAATTATGCAAATAATGGAAAACATACCATAAGTGTAGTAAAATTACCTCCCTCTCTCTCTCTCTTTTTAAACCAATAATGATATTAAAAATCTAAAATGATGCATAGGGTTTTTTTTGTGAATATCTCTGAAGAGAAGTGAGACCTGTAAGGGTGCTCAGCCCTTTTGGGGCATCCCAAACACATCCACCATGAGTTCTCTTGCAGAGCTCTGGTTCTGCACCAACCCAGACACCAGCACAGGGGCACATCAGGTTTGGTCTGGGTGAAAACAAGGCAATTTCTAGTTTTTCAGATCAATTCAGTGCAAAGGTGGAAAGYTGTGGCCTTCAGAGTTACTCTGTCTCAAGGATTTTATTGCTATTGAGTTAGTAACCTGAGGTAAGAGCTGGCTTCTTTTCCAGGCAAGGTTCCAGCTGGATTTCAGGGTTCAGCAATAACCTGAATGATGAGCAAGTGTCTTTGTGTTCCTTGAAACAAGAACAAGACCTTGCTTTTCCTCACTACCAGGAAAAGGAAACTTCACTTACTCATGCTCACAACAGGCCTGGAAAACAGTGATTTTTTGCTTCAGCACGTTCATACAGTTAATCACTAACAAGTTTTATTGGTTTTTGTAGGCTTTAAACTCTGCTCTAGTGATAAGACACAGCATTTCAAAGTACCCAAGCCAGTTCCTGCTCCAGGGTGTGTCGTGCTGCCGTGGTGGTGCCTTGATAAACGTGGGGTCACTTTACCCAATTGCATGATCCAAACAGGTTTTGGACTGCAGAACACACCTTTGCTTTCACTTTCTGATAAAAATGGGGATGTTTGCAGATCCTGGAGGACAAGAGAGAATGCTCTGCCATGGCATGCAAAGACTGGGGGTCACCACTGCCTGTTTCCCCTTCTTGGAAGACAAGGGGAGATCACCTTATGACATAAACACCACCCCAAACCTCTTGGAGAGCTGCTTTTATCTCCCTGGGACTGGTGACCCACCAGACTGCTGTTCATGTATTTTCATTTTTCATCTCACCTGATGTGCAGGATGCAGTATGTGGGCAGTCTCTCATTGCTTGTTGCCTGGAAATGACTTTCTGAAATCACCCTCTAACCCATCCCTCACCTCACTGCATTGGGGGACAGGAAAGCCGGCAGGAGGGGCAAAGGAGAGAGAGTTCTTTTTGTTTTGAWGTGACATTGTGTTATGCCTTTGCTCTGATACCCACTGGTTTTTGTCCTGTGAGGTTTTAGGATAATGGGTTTACCATTTATGAGCTTCTCAGGGGKATGTGTTGCAGAGAGATTTACAAAAGTGCCTTTTCCTGTAACTTCACGTTTCTCTTTCATCTTCTTGGAAGAATGGAAGAAGTCTAAATTCTTGTTCAGACTTGAATTTTGTGATAACTTTTTTTMTGCTACTTTTGCAGGTCAGACTAGTCAGACTCTGAGGGGAGGCAGGTATCATGTGGAAGCATTTCTGCGTGAGTAGCTGTGAAATTGTTGGGGTTTTCTTTTCCCTGTTTTGGGCCTTTCTGTCTCTGTGGAGTCAGCCTGGCTGCCTTCTGGGAAGAGAGAGCTGATGAGGCATGTTACTGATGAGACGAATATTTTTTCGTTCTTGTTTTAAATCCCTCAATTTAATTCAAGCCATTGGCAGGGGAATGTATGAGAGCTCTTGGCTACAACACACACTTCCTATTGTTGGGAGTGAGCAGCCCTGCACACAGCCTGCGGCRAAATTATGAAGTAGCTCGATTTGATCAGCTGATTTCTCACAATAGTTAAAAGATGTGATTTTTTTTCTCTGTTGTTATGCTGTCTTATGAGAAAAAAAAATGSATCACTTGGTTCTCAGCTGCATGAGGCCTCACATTTTCTGACACAAGGAATCAACCCCTCACACCTTGAGTCTTCAAGCTGACAAATGTTGGTTGTTTTTTTGGGGTTTTAGGGTGGCCTAGTCACATATTTAAGTTTTTTCTTTACCAGTGGCAAAGTCCATTAGTTGCTGCATTTGGGAWCCAGGATAAATTTAAGAGGTGATGGCAGAGTGATCCCTACTAGTCATACTCTTTGCAACTATCAGGAAGCACTCAGCATTTCTTTGGTGCAGTTTGGTATTTAAGAACTGAAAAGAACTGAGAAAGAAGAGTGTCTATAAGTAGGGAAAAATAAATTAGTCCATGTCTGTGGATTGCTCCAACAAGCTTCCAACCACACCTTGGGAAGGGATCTCCAGGACACACTCTGCATCACCAGTGGGAAACCTCACCCAGCAGCTCTGGGAAAAGCTCAGTGAGCAGGGGACAAGGTCTGCAAAACAGGATAAGGACCTATAAGGCTCCCTCGAAGGAAAAGATGTAGAAAGGAAAAGTGTAACGCAGAGTAAGGATTTGTAAGCATCATCCCCTGAGGAGCAGCAGTTGTGGGTCATAGGCAGCTGTGCAGGCAGCTCAGCTCCCTTCCTACCCCATTCCTCTCTCAGTATGTGTTACTTTACCTGTTGGTGCATTAAACACTCATCATAGCTGYAAACTCCCACAGAGCTCTCCTTAATCACCAGCTAACACTGCACGAGCCTCCGCTGCCTGTACTTTGAAAAGCCATTTATTGGGCCAGCAGTAATRCTCTTACTGCATTAGCCAACTCCTTCAGCAATGTCATTTTAATCACCTTAGTGGATAATGTGGACCTGATTCTTCGGGTGTACCAAGGGCTGTACCTCCAGACTAACCCTCTTGTGGGATGCACAGCTTGGAGCCAGCAGCTAATAGTTTCTTCTTCTGGAGTCTGCAAGCCTGGATTTGTGGTGTGACTGCCCCAGTGATGAGGTGAAACACAGTGCCCTGTGACTCACAGGAAGCCACAGCTGCTCTGAGTCCAGCCTGCCTTTCTGTTCCATGGGTAGGTGTCCCCTGTCACCCAGCCCCAGCTGCCCCTTCCCAAAGCACGAGGTAGTGAGAAAGATTGACTGCATTGACTCATTAAGCYGGGTTCGTTAGAAGACAGATTGTCATGTTAAACAAATATATTTTAAAAAACTAAGTCTCATTCCCTGGGCCGTGCCCCATCTGGGCYATTAAATCTGAAAGGGGTAAGTACAGCTGTGTCAAAGCTGTGTTCAGGAGTTGATTTTCACTGTTTTTATGACTGGCAACTGGCAACCACTCCATTTGCAAACATCATTTCTCTCTCCTCGTTTCCCAGTGCTGCACTATGGCAATTGGAAGCATAGCAGGGATGAGCACTGCTAAACGGAAACTCCACAGATAGATTTCCTAAACTCAGCACTTCTTTATTTCACCAAGCCCTAAGTTATCTCAGGATGGGGAGGGCTGCTCATCATTAGCCAGGCTTTTTGTAAATAATGCAATTTCACCAAAGGTGGTGTGGAAATGTGGGACAGCTCATCTTTCAAGTGTCTTTTTTGAGAGAAGCGAGGGGTAAAAACCCAACTTTGAGTTAATCCAGCATTTCTTTTGATCRATCCCTTGGTAGTCTGATTAATTTCAAGTGCAGATGTTTCTGCTTTCCATCACAGAATACATCCAGGACTTGGGAGCAGGCTCACAGTGCCGTATTTCCTCCTCACCACACCACGCCACTCTTGTTACGGTTGTGCAGCAACATATGCTAAGGCCTTATTACAAGGGATTCCTATAAATGGCATAAAGGATTAATAATGTATTTATAACACAACTTTGTTTTAGTATAAAGTGATCTATAAATTTGTAATAAATGTTTTATAATGTTTTTGTAGCCTGTTATAAATGATAAATGGGAGACTATAGATGCCACATCAAATATTCATGCTGCATTGTGTGCATTATTATGCCATTACTGTTCAGGAAACCATTAATAATAAAGTGAATGGAGATGTAAAAGTTGCTGACATGCCCAGCAAGCCATTTATAATGAAATGTATAATCCTTACCATAAAGTAAATACATTGGCCCGTGATTGTTGATGAAATGGAAACACTCTGAATTATTTGTGAGGTATTTATATATTAATGTATATTATCCATATCATGTCACAGAAATGCCGTTAATATATTATATGTATTATTGATTATTTTTACCTAATTTATAGGCAGCTGTTTAAGTGTTACCTTGTCTCTTCTCGTGTTTTGTCAGCTGCCTGAGGTCTGGTGAGTTATTTTACGGGATGTGCGTGCTGCGGGGCAGCTGTTGCGAGCTGGATTGAGCATTTTCGTGCCCCTTTCACCCAGCCACCCCAAACTTCTCTGTGAGCACGGGGCGTGGAGGAGCTGCGGGGCTTTTCCAATCCGAGCGATTTTTCCATCATTTCAGGGCACTGCCGATGCCTGAAGCGCTGCCCCAGCACGGGCAGACCCCAAACTCCCTCTTTTCCTAGCCACAACGAGACCTCTGGGCAGGTTCTGGGGAGGTTTTTGGGCAGGTTTTGGGCAGGTTCTGGGCAGATTTTTGGGCAGGTTCTGGGCAGTTTTTTGGGTAGGTTCTGGGCAGTTTTTTGGGACGCTTCTGGGCAGTTTTTTGGGCAGGTTCTGGGCAGGTTTTGGGCAGGTTTTTGGGCAGGTTTTGGGCAGTTTTTTGGCAGATTCTGGGCAGGTTCTGGACAGCCGAGCTTCGTCCTCCCTCCTCCTCCTCGTCGTTCTTTCTCTGGGGCGGGGGAGCGGCTCCGGCTTTGCTCGTCCTTGGTGTCACTTGGTGATGCTGTGGCTCTATCCGCCCACCTAGAGCGGGATTATCCAGCGCATGGTTACATTTAGGCGATTTATGGCGATTTTTAGCTCTCTCACCTCCAAACGGGGATGAAACATCCCTCCCAGTAACTAAATACGATTCACGCCTCCCCTGATGACCGCCCCGTGTGGGGCAGGACGTTTTTGTGCGGGAGCAGAGGAAATTCCCCTTGCCCTTGGCAGCGGCGCGACCAGCGGGGCTCCGTGTGGCCGCAGCGGGTGCCGGGGGAGCCGCTGCCCGGTGCCCTGAGGGGAGGCGGCCCCACAGCCGCAATCGAGCCTTCCCCCGCCGCTTCAGCTCCGGGGGTCCCGGTGCCCTGAGGGGAAGCGGCCCCACAGCCATAGCCGCGCCTTCCCCGCCGCTTCAGCTCCGGTGCCCTGAGGGGAGGCGGCCCCACAGCCGCAATCGAGCCTTCCCCCGCCGCTTCAGCTCCGGTGCCCTGAGGGGAGGCGGCCCCACAGCCGCAGTGGAGCCTTCCCCCGCCGCTTCAGCTCCGGGGGTCCCGGTGCCCCGAGGGAAGGCGGCCCCACAGACGCGCCGTCCCCGCCGCTTCAGCTCCGGGGGTCCCGGTGCCCCGAGGGGAGGCGGCCCCACAGACGCGCCGTCCCCGCCGCTTCAGCTCCGAGCGCGGCCCCTCAGGGCCGACCCGCCCCTCGCCCGCCTCTTTCCCCGCCCTCACCGCCGGTCCGGCCGCCACCGCCGGCTGCTCGGCCCGGGCTGGGCACGGCGCGGAGGGTCCCGGCTCTGCCCGGCCCTGCCGAGCCCCGGCGCCCACCRGGGCTCCCCGCGGGCCATGGCGGCCATCCAGAACCTGCAGCTGTGGTGCCGGCAGCAGTGCGAAGGCTACCGCGATGTCAGCATCACCAACATGACCACCTCGTTCCGCGACGGCCTCGCTTTCTGCGCTATCCTGCACCGACACCGCCCCGACCTCATGTGAGTACCGTGCGGGGCGTCGAGGGACGCGGCCCGGCTGTAGGCTCGGAGGGGCTGGGACACGCCGGGACCCTCGCTGGGCTGGGGCCATTCCCCTGTCCATGGAGCTGTGGATGGGCTGGGGCCATCCCCCT